GAAGCGTCTCCTCGAGTGGAAAGATCTCATCGACGGGCTCCGCCAGTTGCTGCATCCAGCTCAAAACATGACAGCCCAAGATTCCAAACAATCGCTGCAGACCCTTTCGGAAAATATGGAAACAGAGTGGAAGCTAGCGGCATCTCGGAAAAGTTGGCACGCGGACGCGTCGTCTATGATTATATTGGCTTTGCCAAGCACGGATCTGGGGGAGGGAATGGGCGGGAGTCTAACGCATCATAGGGACAAGGGGGAGCGGGTAGGAGGTCGCTACACGCTGGAGGCGCGCAAGGCGTGCGGGCGGATAACAGCCATGTTGAGGCACGTAGCACAAGCGCTGATCAAAGCCAGGACTCGAGGGCAATTGGGGCAGACGGAGGAGCGGGGCAATGAGGAGGAACAGCACCATGAGGATGAGGCGGAGGAGTGCGACGATGATGCCCGAGTCCGTTGTTTCCCTTGTCTTTTGCCCCGGTTCATCCTTCCTTCTTTCCTCGCTATCTCCATTCGTTTCCTTCCTCGTCGGCCATCTTCTCATCATCCTGCACCCCCCCCCCGCCCTCCGCCTCGCCCGCGCGCGGCCCCGGCTAGCCGAGGAGCCAAAGTTCGAGGCCAAAGTGGTTGAAGAATTTCTGGGAACACGCCGAGGAGGGGATGGGGGGCGAGCAAGAGAGTACGGCAGTGGAGCATTTCATTCGGAATTCATGTGGAGTTCATTCGGACTTTATTCGGAGATCTTCGACCCTTAACTTCGATCCACTCTCTTCTGCACGTGCCTCCTCCCCCCCCCCCCCCCCCGAATGGGGCGCAGGGGGGGCCAAAGAAGATAATTACTCGTGCGACTTCGACAGCGAGATGATGGCGGGAAGGGGGGGCGCATATTGTTTGCGATTGTACCTGCATTCTAAGAATCATGGTAGCGCATGTTGGGCTGTGTTGTTTGTTGTTCTTTCCAAGGGCAGGGCAGGCCGTGGCTCGAAAGTTCAAGAACGGCGGACCACCAGTGTATTCTACTGGCGTCGCAGATAATGACGACGAAGAGGTCGCAGTAAATTTCGAAGACGGCGATTTCTATACGATACCTGGGATGACCCATAGCGTTGGAAGGACATGATGAGTGTGAAGCAGCAGAAGAAGGGCAATCAGTATTTATGGGAGGTTGTGACAGCAGAAAAAGTGCGGGTGACAGTAGAAGTATTCCATCGAATGATCAGCGATGTAAGGACTCGTCACTTGGGATTGTTTGTTTGGGACTGTCCGCCTCCAAAAAAGAAGCGCATGGTCATTCAGATGGCGGTCAAAAGTTGGTTCAATAGTGATGAGGTTGATTCTATGTTCAAGAAGTTTGGAAAGCAGGTCGCAGACGGACATGAATCAAAAGATGAGTTTGAGCAGGTGAAGCAAGAATACATCAGGAAACACGGCGAAGGAAAAGGCATGAAGAGGCCCGCCGCTGCGACAAAAGAAGGGCCCGAGAAACCAGAGAAGGCCGATGGCGACGCGCCGAAAGACAAGAAAAAACACAAAAAGGTCGACGAAGAACCGTCGAAAGACAATGAGGACGAAGATGGCACACCTGGCGAGGGCGAGGGAGAAGAGGAAGAGGAAGAGTATTACGAGGAGGGCGAAGAAGAGGAGCAGGAATACGATGAAGAAGAGGAGGAGGAGGAAGAGGAGGAAGCTGAGGGCGAGGTGCAAGCGAAAGATGAAGAAGAGAATGGCGACGGCGCCACGACGAGAGAAGAGGGGGGGGGGAGAACGAGGAGGGCGAGGCTACGGCGCAAAAAAAAACCAGCTGGGAAGCAGACGTCAGAAGACACCGATAGGAAGAAAAAGATAAGATACCGAAGAAAAAGAAGACGCCTGAAAGCCTTAAGAAGAAGAAGAAGACGAAGCAGAAGACAGAGGCAGCTGTTGTGAAGCCACAGACACCTAGGGGGAAGAGGGACAAGCATGATGATAAACCTTCGCCTGACAAGGGAAGCGCGAGCGACTGCCAGAAGATGATGGATTTAGAGTTCGGCAATGATTGTCTCACGTGAGGAATGGGAGGGGTGGGGCGCTGCCGTAGCATCTGAGATGTTGTGCGTTAGGGGTGCTATCTTGCGGTAGGGAAGTGTCGTCGTCTTGATCGTCGCCCCCCCTGTCGTCGTCGCGAGGGCCGGCAGGTGAAGACCAAGATCGAAGCTGGATAAGACAAAGATAAAGACAAATACAAAGACAAAGATGAATGCAAAAAGAAAGACAAAGAGAAATACACCGACAAAGATAAAGCTCGAGTGAGTGATATGGGGTGGCGCTCGGGAGGGCAGCGAAGTAGAATAGCGATTGAGAGTCCTTTGATAGGCGACAGGCTGCGTCGCCCCCTATCCAGGATTTCGCCCGCATACTGTTTTTTGGGGAGGGGGTCAGCTTTCAGTGGCCTGGAGCTTCTCCAAGGAACTCAATCCTGCGATGCCGCGCGCGCTTGGATTTTGATTCGGCGCTCGACTTCGGGTGCCCGCGTCTCTGCAGGAAACGTCGGGCGACGGCGATCGAGGGCAATCGGTCTCGCACCTCTAATCCCCGCGCCCACGTCTCTTGTTGCCCACGCCCGTTTCCACCCCCCGTTTCACACTTCGCCGTCCTCTTGACCGTCGTCGTCGTCGTCGTCGTCGTCGTCGTCGTCGTCTACGCCCGCCGCCTCGCCGCCTTAAGATTCCAGCAGCGGCTTGGCAATCGGGCGCGCCCCTGGCGCCTGCAGGGGGCCGCGCGCGAGAGCGTTCTAGGACACGGGGGATCAGGTAAAAGTGCAGTCGGATGTGATAAGGACAGAGAAGATGGCAACGCACGGATGACGACGACAAGACGAAGAAAATCGCGAGGTGGAGGAAGGGGCATGGCAGGAGGTAGGGTGACACAGCGGAGAACGAGGATCGGTGTGTGAATGAAGCGAATCCACCAGGACGCCAGCGGCGCGATGGCGGAAGAAGCGCCCCCAGAAGGGAGGACGCTGGCGGACGGCGAGGTGGCTCCCGAGGGCTCCCAGACCCAGCAGGAATCCCAGCATCAAGGGTTCTTGACCCTGGCCGACGTCTCACCAGATATGCTCGAGGAGCATGTGAGGGCGTCGCAGAATATGGCGATGGAGATGGGCGACTTCGCGATGGCGCAGCGCATTCAAGAAGAAGAGGACGGCCCACCCTCCGCGTTGCACCTCCCCCTTATCACCAGTTTGCGGGTTCGGGCGGCAGCGCGGGCGAGGTGGGGAGGGGATGCGAGGTGGATTGCTGCAAAGGCAAGGAAAACGATAGGGGCGGGGAAGATGGGAGAGCGGAGTGGCGAGAGAGCGGGGCCCAGCGGCGCAGGAGCAAGAACAGGAAAAAGTGGTGCTGGAGGTGGAGCACTCGCCCGGGAAGCCGAAAGATGGCGAGGCCCCGAGTGATGGCCACCAGCCTTCGCCTGTCGTGGCCCCGATCGAATGGATTCAGGCGAAGAGGAAGGCCAGCGCACGCGAGGGCGAAGACCCAGAGAGGTTCGCGCGCGACGGCGCCCCGCCGCCAGCTCGCGACCCCGAGCCACCGAAGAAACGAAACTGGAAACCCGGGGGATCTGAGGACAGCTTGTCAGATGCGCTGCTTCTGGCGCATATGCACGGTGTGTGTGTGTGTGTGTGTGTGTGTGTGTGTGTGTGTGTGTGTGTGTGTGTGTGTGTGTGTGTGTGTGTGTGTGTGTGTGTGTGTGTGTGTGTGTGTGTGTGTGTGTGTGTGTGTGTGTGTGTGTGTGTGTGTGTGTGTGTGTGTGTGTGTGTGTGTGTGTGTGTGTGTGTGTGTGTGTTGTGTGTGTGTGTGTGTGTGTGTGTGTGTGTGTGTGTGTGTGTGTGTGTGTGTGTGTGTGTGTGTGTGTGTGTGTGTGTGTGTGTGTGTGTGTGTGTGTGTGTGTGTGTGTGTGTGTGTGTGTGTGTGTGTGGTGTGTGTGCGGGGGGGGGGGGGGGGGGGGGGGGGGGCGGCCTGGGAGGAGGTCGCATCCCTGATGATACCTCCAAGGGCAAGGCCGATGGGTCCAACGAGGAAGGGGGCGATGCGAATGGGGAAGGAAAAAAGAAGAGGCGTCGGAGAAGGCGCAAGGAGGCCCCAGACGGTGACGAGAGGAAGGAATAATAAAAGAAGGAAGGAGAAGGCGAACCCAACGAAGGTGAAGACAATGAAGAGGGTAAGAAGAATAAGAAGAATAATAAAAATAAGAAGAAAACTACGCCGAATGCGGCCGAAGTGCGCGGTCAAGAGGCTGCCGCCAGAAAGCCAGGGGGATTGAGGATCACAGGGGGTTGATGGATGAAGGGATAGAGGGGAGAAGCGGTGAGAGTCAGCAGCGGGGGGAAATGTATAGCGCCGAAATAAGGTTCGCGCCGCAGGCTGCTGCGGCGACGCCGCATTCGGCAGGGGCGGCGACTCCAGTGACGACGGCGCAGAGATCCACGACAGCACCCACGGGCAGCGCGGCCCCGAGCCCTACGGCCACGGCCTGCGCAGCCCCGACCCTTGCGGCAGCTGGAAAGATGGAGCCCGAATCCGAGATCCAGCGCCGCTGCTGCTGCCCCTGATCCTCCTCGAGCCTCTGCCCCGCCCGCATCTAGTGCTGCTGCCGCTGTTCCCTTCTGTTAGGTTTTTCCTCCTCGCCCTTCGTATTTGATTGCGAGCTTCGAGGCCCCCTCCCGACATCACGGGCGTCGGCATCTTACTTTGTTTTGATTGCGATTCGGCGGTGCGCCCCCCTCCTCTTCCTCGACCCGCACTCTGCTCCACGCGCCCCGCCCCCCCGCCCATCCCCCCGCAGGAGGTGCCCCAGGAGCTGGCTGGCCACGGCGGCGAGACGAACCCAGGCATCGAACGCCCGATCGTCGCCGACGTGCAGCCGCAGCTGGAAGGCAAGCTGTGGCCGAGGGCAGAGAAAAAAAAACGATCTCGTCGATGTCGGCGCGGAGGGGGCACTGCGTCGCGGAGACGTTCGCGTCGTCGAAGGCCACGCGCCGAACGACAAGGAATCTCTGTTGACCGGGCTTCGTCAAGAGCTGGACGCGATGAACCAAGACGTGCTCTTCAAGGGCACTGAAGAACAATCTATGGAGCGCATGAGTCAGGTCCTCACTCAGTTCTTCAACGGCGACCTGGTGGGCAAGGTGCAAAAGCTGAGGAAGGAAGATGCGAAGGCTGCAAAAGAAATCGAAAAGGATGACCCGCTCCCCGAGGACGCCGCGAGGGACAAAGCCCTCTTCGAAGAATTGGCCCTTAATAATTATTATGTCACTACGCAGACGACGGCAGGGAATGCGATCGGCTCGCGATGGGCGCGGGCAATTGCGGCGTCAGATAAGCTGAGCAGGAATTATGCGAAATGCCAGGGGTGGGCAGAAAGCCGTGACTTCCGAGCAAAGTGGGGCAAGAAGTTGCACAAAAAGAATAAGGCGCGCTGGGAAAAGAGAAAAGAGGAAACGTTCGAGAAGACCGAGTTGAAGGACGGGGAGTGCATCTCCCTCGGCCGCATGGCCTTCCTCGAGGGAGGCGGGTCGGCTGGCCTGAAGGCCGCGTTCAAGTACGCAACCGACGCGATCCTGGTAGGGGGTATGTACGTCAAGTGGGACGAGTGGACAGAGTCGGTAATGTTCCTCTACCTTACACACAGGCTGAGGGAATCGTTCAAGAGGGCATGGAGCACTTTCCAGTCGTGGCAGGGCAAAGGTGATATTGAGGACGCGCAGTTGCCCGCCAACGAGGACGACGACGACGCCTCGACCAAGGCTTCCACGAAGGATGAAGAAGAGGAGGAGGAAGAAGAGGAGGAGGAGGAAGAGGAGGAGGAATAATAATAAGAAGAAGAGACGCCAAAGAGGAAACGCAAGAAAGTGAAAAAGGGCCCAAAGGTCAAGAAAGACAAGACGAAGCAAAAGACGAAGAAGGGCAAATACACTGGAGGCGGCAGGAAGAGCAAGGGCACTAAAGGCGAGAGGAAGGGCAAGGGCACTGAAGGCGGCAATAAGGGCGCTAAAGGCAAGAAGGGCGCTAAAGGCGACAAGGGCACTAAAGGCGGCAAGCGGACCGGCAGGAACGGCACCGAAGACGGCACCAACGGTGACCAGAAGAAGAAGATGACTTCCACGCCCCCCTGGCTCAAGGAGTTCAGGCAGGTCAAATCTATGTTCGACGCGTGCATCCTGCAGTACATGAGGACCCACGAGAAGGTAAAGAAGGGCCCCCAATGGCAGCGGGCCAAGAAGTCTGGCACGGAAGACCTGGGCAAGGCCAGCGCGAAGGCGCGCGCCCACGCCATCCCTCCCTCGCTCCTTTGCCACCCTCATCCCGTTCCCGCCCCAACTTTATTTTCCCTGCTCGTCCCAATTCTGCGTGTCTCCCTGCAGCCGCCCGCTACAGGTTTAAATTTGACTTCCCCGCATGTCCCCCCCCTGCTTCGCCCCTTTGCTCGCGTGCTCGCGCCGCCCGCTAATCGGCGAATGATATGCTGTAGAACAACGCCAACATCTCCCGCATCATGAACACCGAAAGCTCCCAGATGAAAAAGTACTCGAAGGAGGTTGGGAGCGGGGTGGGGTAGCGTGGGCAGTGGCAATGGCAGCAATCGCACCCTTCCTATTTGCATCCCTCGCGTCCTTCACTTGGCGCTCTAAAGCGCCCCCTGGCCCTCGCCCGCAGGTCGGGGAAGCAAAGTTCCAGCTGAGAGCCAAGAAAGCAACCCAGGTGCTGACGGATCCCCTGAAAGCATTGCAGCAATAATGCAAGACCGTGGAAGATATGGCGGCCGCGAAGGTGGCAGCAAGCGCTTGAGCATGTATATACGCACGGCTAGCGGCAGGCAGACATGTCTCGGGTGCGAGGTTCGAGCTCGAGGGGGCCCCTGAGAACAGAATGCGAGACCCAATGGATTAGTTCTGCGAATAAATTTTGAGATCCAGCGAATGAATTTTGAGATCCTGCGAATGAATTTTGATATTAGCGAATGAATTTTGAGATCCAGCGAATAAATTGTGGTGCCCAGCGAATAGTTTTCGAGATTCAGCGAATAATTGTCGAGATCCATCGAATATTTTGCGAGATCCATCGAATATTTTGCGAGATCCATCGAAAACAGAAAAATGAGTGGCGAATAAAATGCGAAAAAAGGGCGAATAAAATGCGAATAAGTCCGAATAAAACAGCATCAAACCATATATATATATATGTATATGTACAAACATGACAGAATAAAAGCCGGATGGAAGCCGGAGAAAAGCCGGATAAAAGTCAATAAATTGAGAAACCTGGGGGGCTCAGGAAAAACAAGACAGCATCTCGATTTTCGCCCCGAAGATATCGAGTTACATATGCCAGCCGCAATGCCTCTTCCGAGTGCATGGGGTCCAGAAGTCGCTCACACGCCGCCGAAGGCGCTTGGGTAGGTTGCTATAGGTGCATTTGCGCTTCCGCTGTAGGGTAGCGAGGGCGCTAATGTGAATCTCGGCAGGGTGCTGGGATCGAGTGCGCAGCTGATTTTGATGCGTGCAGGCCGGTGTGTGTTTGACCTTTGCAAGGCTGCTCCGATGCCGATAGCAGCCGAAAGCTGGATAAAAAAAACGCTTGCTTGAGTTCTGATGGGAGTTGTATGCGCGCGTGTATGCGCGCGCATATTGTGGCGCACGTGCGCGTGCTCTCCTAAGCCACAGAGCCCAAGCCATGGGTGGGTTTCGGCACGCGCCTTATCAGCAGTATGTCCGCGACCCTGATGGCATGCAAAAGCGTCGAGCGGGGGCTAAAGCTTCGGACCTTCTACTAGGTATTTATGGGTCCTGCAAGCGGATGTCGGCCCAGGACTTCGCGGTGCTCTGCCATTATTTTCAAAAGTGCGAGGTGCCAGGTGGCGAGTGGGGGAAATATGCTAAGGAGCCAGGGGACAGCTCGGGCAGCTATAAGAAGCACGTGGACTCCAGATTTCCCAAGCCACCGCTTTATTATGCAGATAAAGTGCCTGCCACCCGAAGAAAAGACGCACGAAAGAAAACGATGCAAATCCCATTCCGAAAAGTGTACAGGACTATCTACGACGAAGTTGTGGAAAGCGATTATATATTACAGGCGCTGAAAGATGGCGATATTGACTCGCCATCGAGTGTGATGAGCCTCCCAGGGTACCTCAACCACCCCCACGTCGTGCGCGCCAGGGAAGCTGGCGAGGACTATCCTCTCCCCTTGGCCCTCTATATGGACGGCGTTCGATGTGCGGGCCAAGCAGCAGGACGACGCAATGTGGTGGCTCTCGCTTTCCGCCGAGCCCAATTCTAAGACCCGCTCCCCATTGCCCTGGCCCCGAACCCCCATGCAGTGGCAAAAACGTCCCACATGTGTTTCCCTGGTCTGAATCGCCCAGACCCCGTCAACCCCGAAACCCCTTGACTTATGACTTATCCTCCAGTGGGGGGTCGAAGATAATATCCTCGGCGTGTCAGTCATAACTATGATTTCGGGCCAACGGCATTTGCTTGGTTTCCTGGGGAAAGATTCGTTGTGTTCGTGCGGGTGCTCAGGGCATTGCTCCGTGCGCTCCCTTTTGAAGGTTGCAGCGTGGCAGCTTCAGTGCCTCGTCGACGGCGCCCTCCCAGACCATGGGCGCGACGGCGTGGAGATGGGGGGGTGCAAATTTTGACCCTGGGCCCAGGAAGTTTCCGTTCAACAGCATGGTGATGTATATCAAGGGCGACTGGTCGGAATACCAACATTCCATGGGTCCAATGCCTTGGGGGTCCATCTGCAACTGCTGCCCCCTGTGCACCGTGACCAAAGATTTGCGGGACGTCGCGTACCCAGGGGTGGTGACCAAAGACGGCCTCGAACACAGAGATAGAAGGCACCGCGAGTATTGCGAGGCATGCTCACGGCGAGAACACGTTGTGAACGTTGCGAACGATCGCGTTCGCGACGCCCTGGCCGACATTCTCCACGACGACGGGAACGGGAAAGGAAGGGTGCTCAAAAAAGATGTCGAATTGCCCGCTCTGAAGCTGAAGCGAGGCGATCGGCTCGAGCCCTCGGGCGAGCTTTTAACGCCAGCTGGATTTGCAAGCACGCAGACACCTTTTAATGCTACTTTCTGGCGGCAGTCTGTGGATAAATACATGGATATATGCAGCCACAGGGGCCCGATATTCAACGACGATCTCGGCACGTCCCCCGCTCGATCGCTAGCCATCGATGGCCTCCACTCCGTATATCTCGGCCCGATGCAAAGAGTTACAAGGGCTGCCTTGCAAAGGATTCTAGCTGCAAGCCCATGGAAAGTAAAAGACATTGTAAGGATCAAGGGACTTGAAGCAGACATGCATTCTTATTTCGATCGCACGCGTCTCCCCCCATAACGTCGGATCGGGCTGCTGACAGAAAAAATTTTCGGATGCATATCAGACGACAAAGATGATCAGGGGGGGATCTTGAAGATGAAGGCAGCTGAAACATACACTATGCTACTGTTCACTATTGACAGGTTGAAGGTTTTCAATCTTGGTTTACACAAGCATACGTCATTACTGCGTGCTTGCGAGGCTATGGCTGCGTGGGTGCGGCTGACACGAACCGCCCCGACGCAGTTGTCGACTGTGGAGTTCGATATTTTGCTTGCTAGCTGCAATACTTTTTTGGTGAGCGCCGCAGATGCTGGCGTTGCCCCGACGCCAAAATTCCACCTCTTCGCGCACCTCGCATGCAGGACCCGCGCTTTGGGGTACCAAGTCTGACGGTGCCCCCCAATCCTCGTTTTGCATGTTGTTATCCTTAGCCTACTCGTTCTTCACCGCCCCCTATCCTACTTGCCCCGCTCTTCCCCGCTCCTCTTCGCCCGCTCGCCCTGTCCACTCTCTCCGATTGCGGCAACCCGCGGGCGGGGTGGGGGGGCGCGAAGAGTGAGCCAATCCTGGATGGCATAGCAGGTGGGGGAGGTTGGGGCGATGTCTCTATAGTGTGTGAACAATCCCCAGAAGCTGGTATCATGGCAACCCGTCCGCGCACGACACGTTTATCGACGAGGGGCTGAACCTCGTGCTTCGAACCTGCGCCGAAAGAGCCCGCCCCCTGACAATCCATAAATCGGTTTACGTGTGTTTTCAGATAATAGGCACCCTACAAACCAACACCCACTTGTATGCATCGAGCCCCGTGAAAGACATGGACGAGGAATCCGACAATGGCGAACCTCCTGGAGATGACCAGCCACCAGAGGAACCGCCGCACCCCCCAGGACCCGCGGCTGAAGGGGAGCAGGGAGGAAGGGAATGAGGATGGAAGGGAGGGAACGGATTGAAGGGAGGAGGGCATGAGGATAATTAAGTGCGTGCGTGCGCGCGCAGAGAAAGCGCGTATCCGACTATAGGATGCAGGAGTGTTTGAATGAGTTGTCAATCCGCAATAAGCACGCGACCATGTTGACTGCACCTGTTCGTGAAAATAACACGCACGCGCGCGGGGGGAAAGGGGGGGGGGGAAGGCGAGGCTGGGCTTGTTTCCTGGCCAGGAGCTGGGAAACGGGATCGGCGAGACCGACGCCCTCGCGGGGAAAAACCGGACGCCTTGGGGCATCTACCGAAGAAACCGCGCGCCGCTGACTGACGGCGCAAGCCGGTCATATTTTGAGCAGGCGCCGAAAAGATGCGGACAATAATAGGGGGCCCCGCTGCTTTGCTCCCACCGCCGCCCCGTATCATTTCTAACTTTCCTCGCCGCCGCCGGCCCAAAGTTGACCTCGACCCAGGGGGCGGGGCGC